AAGTGTAACTACTGCAACAAGCTTGGACATAAATTTTGGAGTGTCGCCGAAAGGCTAAGTCTGAGAACAATCAAGCTCACTTGAGCGAAGTAAATGATAACACTGTATTTTGACCACTTTTATGGATCGTTTTGAAATACTTTTTCTAAGTTTTTTTATTGCTTTCAAGTGTTTTTATTATGTTTTTCTAGTATTTGTAGTTTCAAGACTCTTTTCAGGAAACTTAGGAAAAAGCTTAACAAAATGGATAGAAGACCAGATTTGAGCTCAGAGTCAAACCGTCAGAAGTTCACCCTCAAATGAAGACCTTCTCACCGTCTGATCCAACTCAAATTTGGAGACCTGAAAGATGGAAATACCAGCTTTCCAGAAAACTCAACAGAATGGCAATCCAACTGTTCAATCAAAAGTTATGAGTAGATCATGATGTCCCGTAAACTAGCCGGTAAATATTCCTACCGCAGCCAACACCCATTTTGCACCGGTCCCGTCATTCCCGAATGCGGAGAATGGTCTGTCCGACCTCAAAGCCCATTTTTAATGCATGAGAGTATCGTCATGAACTACAATCTGATCTTGGTCCTTGGTGTTGCGAAAGTATTCATCCGGGGTCAGATCTAGTTTGAGAAGAGCAGATCAACTATAGGAGTGGAAACCTACCTATGGGCGAATTGTGAATGTTGACGAGTCTTAAGCAAGGTTGCATCTTTTCTCTTCCAGGGTCAGAGTGGAAACCTACTGGTCAGGGTTGCGAGAGATAGTTGGTTATGATCACGACAGTGGCGTATTCATACGTTCGTGACTCAAGTTTTAAAAGTTTTTAGCAAGGATCTTTTAAATTTACTTTTTAGCAATGTTTTGAATCGTTCATCCCCCGGAGAGAATTTCCCTGAAAACCCAACGTCTCGTTCTTATAAGTTTTCGCCGATTTCAATATAAGTTTTAGTCATCAGGTTATTTTTCTTATTCCAGTTTTCATTCAAGCAATTTAGGTATAGCCGTTTTCATCGTTTTTAGTCGATTTCATTAAGTTTAGATATTAGGTCATTTTAATTCCCGGATTCCGTTAAGATTAGTTTTTACGTTTTAAAGACATCACCAAAACCCCTCTAAAAAATCGCCTGGTTCTAGACTTCCTTACTTCATATTTCTTTTGAAGGATTTTGTAAAAAAGAACATCATTCCCTATGGATTCGATCCCTAAGTACTACAATTGATCAACTGTGCACTTGCGGCTAATTAATTTCATTTAGGGTAAATCTTGACACCCTCATCACCAACGACATCAAGTTTTTGGCGTCGTTGCCAGGGAAGGCACACGTTTTTTTTTCCGCAAAGCCGTAAGAAAGGTTGGTAAATCGACTCTAGAACCTTTTTTCTGCTTATTTCCATTTTTTGTTAGTTCTTTTTCTTTAAGTTCCCGAAGCAATAGACTATATAAACCGAACTACTACGAGGGATGTTTTTACAACACTCAGAGAAGAGCAATACATACGCAACCTCTTCAACTCGGTTCGGAACTCAAATCTGAACTATCGAGCATTCCTGGACAACCCTTACACGCCTCCCATGGTGAAACCTAGACCACCTGTTTATCGCCTACCTCACCAAATCCTCCAGCAGGATGAGAACGTCCAGATCAGTAATCAATTGAAGCAGCTTGAAGGCACGATCAAACAGTTTATTGAAGCTCAAGCCGTTACTACAGCCGCTCTTAACGAACAGATTGAGGGCATATCAAAGCTTTTGGACGAGAAGATTGATGACCTTGCTTCCCAGATCAAATCGATGGAGGAACGAGCAACCAAAGACGCAGCCGTGATCGCTAATAGATTCGACAACATGGAAGAAGAACAAGTAAGCACGCTCACGAGCTTTGCAACACTAAAAACAAGATCATGGACCTGGATTTCAAACTCGAAGATGTGGAAAATGCCCTCAACGAAGCTAATAACGAGTCTTATGACTTCACGGTTGAAGTTTCAGAGAAGGTATACAAGATTATTGACAAAACCAAAGAGCTTGACTCAACCATAGATAAGGTTGTTTATGCTCCTGATGAAGTTTAAGAAAAAGTTGAGGAGATCATGCAAGGACTTGGAAACCAAATTTCGGTACTCTACATTAAAGACCTAGGCCAAGAGAGAAAGTATACTGAACCAGAAGACCCAGGAGATCATTCAGGAAGCAAAACAGCAAGCAATTCTAGCAATCCACTTCGAAGACACTCTCCCGCGGTCGTGTTCCCTGTGACCACGACCAAGAGACGTCCACCCGTGGTTGTGCTTAGCCAACCTGCGGCCCATAGTTGATTCCCTGCAGTCGCATCTCCTGCAGTCACGACCAGCCGTCAAAACATTCCAAGACAGCCTCATCCGGCTTATACAAGCAGTTGTTCGTCTGATGCACCTTCTAGAGTAGCTAGACCCCTTTCTCAGCAACTGATTTACTCTATCAGCACTCAGGAATCTGAAGACGAAGACAAGCCATACTCTGAAACATGGCTTTGTCTTGTGAAAATGAGTATGAAGAACAATACTCTGAAGATGAAGAGTATGGCTTGTTCGTAGAGGACCCAGAAGCAGGATAATCCTCAGGAAGCAGTACCCCAGAAGTTGAATGGATCAACTGATAGAGTTTAACAACTTCGTCAAAGCACTCCCTGCTCATCTAAGCTTTGATGATGTCTGGAAGCTTCGTTGCTTGCAGGTATTATTCAGATACTGTAAGGAGTCTAAGGAGGAAATCCACACACACTTTATGCGAGCCCGATACCTAACATCACCAGAAGCAGCTGTCTATGCAATTCACCTTCAAAGACCTGAAGAATGCAGTTACTACACCAACAAAATCAGCAAAGAAAAGCTTGTCGAGTTCAATGATGTAGTTCGAAACTTACCTGAAGGAATCACCTTTGCCAGAGCTTGCAAAGACTTCATGATCGGCCATTACTTCAGTAAGAGAAAGGAATTCATTCCTGAAATAGAAGACTTGTTCAATCATGCCAGAAAAGGTAGACCTGTTCGAACACTTCACAAAATCGAAGGCCAAGGTCAGTTTCTCATCTCTTGTTCAGTTAGAGGTGAAATGTTTAACAATGTGCTTTGTGATTCTGGAGCTTGTCTCAATATGATGTCCAAGGCAATTGCTATTAAGCATTTTCGCAGGACTAGGACGAAGATAAGTCTAGAGGATGATTCTAGTGCAACACCCAAAGGAGTAGCTTATGATATCCCTTTGAGGATAGGTCTAGAGCTACATTGTCGAAACAAAGGACGCAACACATCCAGTGATTCTCGGATGGTCTTTTCCAGCAACTTCCGGAACCATTATGGAGTAGTTTTGAAACGGCAGACATAGTTTTGATCAATAGAGTAGATCTGACGGCGACGATGGATAAAACTTAGAAGTTGTCTTAATTTCATCATGAATTGTTCATTCTGACAAATATATTTCAGGAACTGAAGATCGGCAGAAATAGTGCAGAGGTACGAAATTAATTGCAACGGAAATCGGAGAGTCGCCGGAGTAGCTGACATGACGGCGATTGTAGAAGATATACACGTGGTATAACCTGGGGATGAATCATGGGACACGTGTAATCATCTATTTTCCACTTATCTCTTCACTATCATTGTGAGAGGCCCAATATTGGCCAGTTTAATTTCAGCCTTTTGGGTTTAATCAATATAATCCATATCGACAAAAATAAATCCTCTTGCTCGATTCTCTCACAAAAAAAATCAATAGAAAAAAATCTATGTCTCCTCTCTCACACCTATTTTTCAGAGAGAGAAAGAGAGAGGCAATTTCTGATTTTTTTTCTGAAATCGGAATCTTTACCGAAGTTTTCTGGTTTTGATTATATACATTTTGATTTTGATCGAATTTTCTTTTGCTGTTTTTTGGATAATAATATTCTGGCTAAGTTTGGGTTTCTCCTTTTGCAATCTCTTTGTCGGCCATGTTTTCTTCGATTCAGCGATTTTCTTTTAAGTTTTGTTGCAGATTTTCTTCTGGCTTGGAGTAATATCTTTGTTGTTTTCCTCTTGCTCGATTCTCAGAACAACCATGAACATTGCTTAGATTAATAAATTGGATCTGATCAGCGACAAAGCTTCCTTGAAGATGGAGATCTAGAATCAAATCTAAAAGCAGTTGAAAGATTGGCGAAAGAAAGACATCAAGGCATGAGATTAATTGGATGTGGGGATTGGAGTCGCTGGCGGTGAAGCTTAGCTAGCACTGATTACGATGGCGTCTGTGACTGCTGGCGTTGAAGAATGACGACGGAAGCAGCTTGAATTTGCGGGCAGGCTTAAGTGAAGATGCAAACAAGGCTGGAGTAGCACGTGTAGCAGTCCGACTAGCTCTGGAACTGACACAGGAAGACTTGCGAAGCAATCTACACACGTTGAGGTGAGCTGGAAGCTGAGCTGGAGCTGCAGGACGTGCTGGACACTTCAAAAGACGAGAAGCTGACGTGGATAGGAAGCTTGGAGTATCTTGGAGGATCTTTGAAGAAAATATCAAGTTTCCTCTATCTCCAGGTGAAGATTCTCATGAAGATTTGGAGAAATCACAAAGAGGATCTAGGCGAGGAGTAGCCGCAAGTCCTATTATGTATAAATAGGCGTGTGAAAAACCTTGTAGGGTTTTTCAACACAACTGAGAGAATACTTCGCAAAGGGTGAGCGAAAATCTGTGAGAGTTTTTGTGAGCTAGTGTGCTAAGAGATTTGGGTGAGAGGTTCTTGAATCACGTATCGATTCAAGAACAAGTGAGGCTAGTGTAGCAAATCAAGGTGTGTCTTGAGGTTGCTCTAAATCGGGTTCTGTATACTTGTAAGTTACAAACAGATTTACTAGTGAAATATTCTTGAAGAGAAAATCCCTGTGTTGTGTTCTGTGTTAGTTCCCGTATTACTACTCTTACATTTTCATTTGGTATCAGAGCGGTCATCTGTGTGTATTACAAACAGGTGAGATCCTGCGGAGAAAATGGAGAGCTATAAGGAAATGGTGAACAACTCCAGGATCCTCCTGGATGATGGGAACTACGGGTTTTGGAAAGCTAGGATCAGATCCATGATCAAAGGGATCGATCCACTGGCATGGAAGGCAGTAACTGATAAATGGGAAGAACCACTGGTAGCTGATGCCAACGGAGTCTTTCATCAAAACCAGAAGAAAGTTGGACTGAAGAGGAGTCCAAAAGAGCAAAGTACAATTCAAGGGCGCTGACTACCATTCACACCAACGTATCAAGAAAGACATTTGAGCTGATTCAAGGTGTTGAGACTGCCAAAGAAGCATGTGACATACTTCAGATGCAGTACGAAGGAACAACAAAGGTTCAAAACTCCAGAAAGGACATGCTTGCTTCTCGCTTTGAGAATCTAAAGATGGAGGATAATGAAACCATCTCTGAATTCAGTTCAAAACTGAGTGCTCTGGCACAAGAAGCAGCTGTGTTAGGCAAAAAATACAAAGATAAGAAGCCGGTGAAGAAATTCTTGAGGTGTCTGCCATCGAGGTTTATGGGGTACAAATCAGCACTCAGTGTGTCCAGCAACACAGAGAACATGCCATTCAGTGAACTTGTAGGCATGCTGAAAGCTCATGAGATGGAGCTAGACAGTCTGAAGAAACCTAAAAGTCTAGCTATAAAGTGTGAAAACCGCACCACTGAAGATGAGGAAGATGATCCCATAAGTCTTCTGGTTTGAAGATTTGATCGTGCTTTGCGGAAAACTGGGAAACCTCAGAAGAAGGTTGCCTCCTTCAAGAAGACAGCTGAAGGGGATAAGTCAAACAGGAAGAGTGAGGTGCAGTGTCATGAGTGCAAGGGATATGGACATTTCAAGAATGACTGTCCTACTATCAAGCGACGAGAGATTCAGTGCTATGGCTGCAAAGGATTTGGACACACTCAGCTGGAATGTGTCAATGATCAAAATCGCAGGAAGGACAAGTCCATGTTGGCTGAGGAAGAATCGGATGATGACTCAGAGGATGACTCAGTTGAAGAGACAAACAACTTCGTGACGTTTATCGGGATCGCTGAAATTAAGGAGGGACAGGAGTCAGAGTCAGAGCCTGAAGAAGAAAAGGAGGATGATCTCATAAGCAGCTACAAGGAAGTACGTCATGTCCTGGTTAGTCTCAACAAAGAAAACAGTGAATTGAAGAAAGAAAACCAGAGACTGTCCGTACTAGTAGACAAGCTCAGCAAAGATCTCGAAGCAGCAAATGCACTTGGCCAGGGAAGTGTCAATCTGATCAAGGAGAAGCTGGAATTAGCCAACAATGCTGAAAGTCTGAGGCAGCATCTAAAGGTTGAAAAGCAAATATCGGAGAAGCTGGAGTCAGAACTAGATCAACTAAAGAAGCAGATTCAGATGTTCGCAGGAACCAAGCAACTGGACAAGATCCTGAGCTACGGATGTCAAGCCAATACTAGGCATGGACTGGGGTACAGTGGATGGGAACAGAGGAGCTCAGATGAAATCAATTTTGTCTCTTCCGGATACAACCAGCCTGAAGGACGAAGACCTGTCACCAAACAGCAAAAAGGACGAGAGTGCTATTACTGTGGCAAGATCGGACATATCAAGGCATACTGCTACAGCAGATGGAACAGGGTTCAGAAACTGATGAAGCAACGGAAGTTCAGTTGGAATGGATCCACCAATCAAGTCTGGGTCAGGAAAGAGGATTTGCGATTTGAACCTAAGGGACAACTGAAGAAGAATCCCATCAAGCCGAGAGAATTCACTGTTAAGAGATCTTCCAGGAATGGTCCAATGTCAATGCTGTGGCATGGATTCAAGTGCAACATGGCACAAGTTGAAAGCGACGAAGATGAGTTAGAGCCTTGGTACTTCGATAGTGGCTGTTCACGGCACATGACTGGAAACCGAAGCTACCTCCGGAATGTTAAGAAAATTAAGTGAGGAAGAGTTACGTTTGGTGATGGAAGTGTCGGTGCCATACAAGGAAAAGGTATTACAAAAGACGAAGATCAGCCTGATCTAGTCAATGTATACTTAGTACAGGGACTTAAGGAGAATCTTATCAGCATAAGTCAACTGTGTGATGAAGGGCTAATTGTGATATTCACCGACAAAGGATGCAGAGCAGTGAATGATGATGGACAAATTATCCTAGCTGGAGAAAGATCAGGCAACAATTGCTATATGTGGAACAAGTCAGGGTCAGTTATCAGCTGTTTTACTGCCTGTGATAATCTGCAGCTGTGGCACCAGCGACTCGGACACATGAACATCAGGAATCTCAATGATCTCATCTCAAAGGAGAGCATTAGAGGAGTTCCAAAGATCAAGGGAGGAGATAAGTTTGTGTGTGAAGCGTGTAACCAAGGCAAACAGGTGAAAGTCCAACACAAATGAGTACCTGACGTACAATCCAAAGCACCACTTGATCTAGTTCATATGGATCTGATGGGGCCAGTTCAGACAGAGAGTTTGGGAGGTAAAAAGTATGTGTTTGTGCTGGTTGACGACTTCACTAGATTCACATGGGTTAGATTTCTCCGAGAAAAGTCTGACACGGCGGATAGCTTTAGAATCTGGGCTTCACTAGATTTTTTTTAAATCTAATTTGCATTTTTATAGATATAATATGTTTGTAATAAATGATATAATTTATTTTTGTGTTTAGATATAATTTATTTATTTTTAAATTTATTTTTTCTAATAAATTTGACCACGATTATAAAAACATAATTTTAACTCGTTCATTCGATTAATCCAAAAAAACCATGAATAGAAAAATATAATTTTACTCTATCTATTCATATTACCATATAATATATATATATATTTAATTTAAAATCTTTAAAATTTTAAAATAATTTTTAATAAAATATATAATAATGTAACGTTTATTAACTTTATCATTATGAAAATATTTTTTACATTTGGATATTTAAAAAGAAAATAAGTTAATATCTTATTTAATACATTATAAAAATAATAACAGCTAATTTTTAATTTTGATAATTAATCCTAACTATATCTAAGAAAATCTAAACTAATTGAATTAAAATTTTAAATTTTTCGAAATTAATTTTAAATATTAAATTAAAATATATTATTTTATTAATTTTTGGAAATAAATAAAACAAATAAAAAATTAAAATTTTTGTTTGGTAACAGCAATAGTAGATATCTAGTAGTAAAATACAGTAAAAAAATATAAAAAAACCCGTTAAGACACAAAACATACTTCTGTTTTAATAGAGAAATATTATTATAACGCGTGTTGGTATGTAATTTTTGTGTTTAAAATCATGTTTCTCTCGTAATGTCCTTGTTATAAATGAGAACAAAACCCAAAATAAATAGAGATTTATTGCACAACATTAGATAACAGATTGTTCACTAATATTTTAGAGAGATTCAAGGTCAATGGTTTTTAACAAAAAAGTTTGCAAAAGAGAAATATAAACAGTCTCCCCATATGACAAAAACCAGTTTCTTAACTTCATCCTCATTCAACCTTATTCGAGAATACTAATTTTAATAGCTAGGTGAAGATCCGCGCCAAGCGCAGGCATGCGATGTATACAAAACTGATTACAAAATTTGTAGAAATCGAATATTGATAAGTATAATTTTGAAAAACTTTCCCTTTTTTCATATCATGTGAAGAAGTTCTGCTTGAAGGAATACTCCATTGAGCAGCATGTGAAGAAGTGTTGCTTGCGGAAATAATCTATTGGACGACACATCGAGAATAAGATCCTGATAAGAAATATCATTATCTTCATAGCTAAAAAGATTTATACTTAATAATGGCACAAATAATCCATTAGACGGCACATCAACAAGAAGATTCTGATCAGAAATATCATCATCTTCCATTTCATCTACTATGTATTGGGTTTTTTCTCTGACTTCTTCTTTTGATTTTTTTTTATTAGATTTTTCAGTAGCTATTATCCAAATAGACCAATATTTTTTTTAAAATTAATTCTTCTCATCAAAATTTATTTCGATTCTGAAGTTAGTTAATTCATTCCCTAAAAATCAAATATTATACGATAAAATAAAAAGTATCAAAAGTTTTGATTACTCATTTCTCTCATAATATATTTATTGTTTTGAAATGAAATGTTTTCTGCCAACATTATTAATAAGACTCCAAAAATGCTTTATGTTCATCAGCAACAACAAAATTTATTGTTTATATGAAATTTTTTTATACAAACTCAATCCTTACATTCATCTACATATGATTGTACACAGTGTTTCTCGTATGTAGTTGTATCATCGACAAATAAAATTCATATTGCTTGATAATTTAATAAATACTAATTTCAATAACAAACCTCCTAACTTCACAAAAACCAGCCTCATAACTTCATCTAACCAGAATTCGTATCCATGGCATTCCTAAAAAGAAAAAGGCAAGAGCATAATTGGTTACAAAAACTAGGCAATAACAGATTTGATTATAAATAAAAACAGTAAATTTATTATGCATGTGCCCATGAATTTCCGATGAATTTGGACGTCTTTACTCTTTGTGAAACCTTCTCTGTGGTCTAGCAGATTCACTTTATCACAAACAATTCCACATCATATGATGGTCATGGCTGGCTTTGAATATGATAATCTCAAATCAGCTTATATCCAATCTCTTAGTTGCTTCATCTAAGAATTTGAACAAAACACAGTTCATGTTTTGATTTGTTTGCTTTTTGCTTGAGTAATCTTTTATTCTAGATATTGCCTTAGAGTCTGTACTTGACGTAAAAATTGAGGTGTACAATAAACAATAAAAATCATCAACATAACTAACTTTTGCAACAACAAGATGCCAATGGGTTGTCAGAATAGTCCTCAAGTGTTTGTTTTCACGATTTTTTTTTGTGAACATAAATTCGAAAAATGCAAGAAAAATATAATTTAGGTTTGATGGTTTTTATGAAAAAGACTCTAAAACATTTAAATCTTTATTTTTGTTTTCTTATAGGTTCTCAATAGTGAACATTATATTTTTGGGATTGTCGAACTTTTTTACCAAATGAAAATATCGATTATGAGGCAATTTTTTCAATTTCGCTTATGGGGTTAACATTTAAAAGGATACCATAATGCATTAAAAAATATTGGAACTATGCTAGAAGATGTAACATTGAATACATTTAGGATATCATTTTATAGTAATGATAGTTCAGCATTTACAAACAAAGTTGCAACATATTAAAATTTAACAAAAGTGAACAATCGTTGCACCAAAAAATTGGACTCACCATACTTCATAAACTTAATGACCATATGTTTTAGACTATATTAGCAAACTAGTCATTAAACAATCCATAATATACCATACATCATTCTTTTACATAATATCAACCACTTGATAGAGAATACGAGAAATAGCTGTATTAAGACTAGACTAAAGTGGGCAGGCAAGTCCGGAGGAATTGATATTCAAGTAATTTGGATCAATTTAGTGCATGTTTGAGTATAATTTGTAGATGTAATTAACCATGCTGTTAGAAATGTGATGCGGGTCTAGTTTAACTAATTTGTTTTGTGTTGCAAAATGTGAAGGTGAAGCCTTGTTCAACGGCAATGTTCTCGAAATATTTCTAATGAGTCCCCTTGACGGAAACTGTGATTGGAGAGATTTCCAGTGGATCTCATCCGACTAGATCTTTGATAAACTACAACGTTCATTTGAGGGATTAAAGCTGTGCCCAAATAAAAAAAAATAGATAAAAAGAAAAGAAAAAATTATGTTGCTCCAGCAACAAGTGAATCAGACAGAATGTCACATATAGATTTCTCGTGAGTCTTGTTGCACATTTGAGGAGTCCTAGAGTGTATTTGCCTCTTGTTTTGGATATATTTGTGTTCCATTAGGTGTTTGGAAGTTGACTCGGTTAAGAAAGCTTTAGGTGTTTGGAAGTTGACTGGGTCAAGAAACCTTTATGGAGTTCCAAAGAATATGGAAAATACACTTTCGCGTGAAAAGAAGCAAACATGAAGATACATACCAAAAGGATGTATTACGAAGATCATCTTGAATTAAAGCCTTACCGTTTATAGATAAAGCTCAAATTCGATTACAACATATACAATCTATGTAGCTTCATTTTTGCGTTATAATTCTCATTATATGACATTGTTTCTAAAAACATGTCAAAATATGCAGAGATAATCTGATATGGCTGAAAGATCATAACAGATGAAAATCTTCCCGTGCACATCATATATATAAAAGAGGATCAACTCTCTCCATATAAATGCCACATCAGCATTTGAGAGTTAATATAGAGATGCCATGTATCGTATTTTTTAGCTTAAAGTTACAATTTTTTAAAAGAAAATTCATTATTAAATTTTGATATTAAGTTTTAAACCACTTAAAGAAAATGAAATTTTTTTTATTAATTGATTCTTAAATAAAATTTATATAAATATTAAACAAAAATTTATATTATAATTAATTAAAATTATTAATAGATATTTTTTTTGTATAAACTCTTGATTCTTTTATGATATTATATTTTAAATTGATTGATTTATAATAATAATACACTAACACATAACAAATGATGATTATATTTTTTATAAAAATATACAAATTTGAAATACTTGAAGAAAAAAATATGCACATTACATGCAGGTATTCACCTAGTTTTATTCTAAAATTTAATGACAAGATGGTAAATTTGGTTAGCTTCACGTAATTCTTGCAACCTCTGCTTCAAAAGCTATGTTCAGTTTAGTCAAGACTTGTCAATCATGTCAGCTGCAAACTGATATATAGAATCCTATATAGAGAAAAAAAAATCATAGCTGAATCTCTACAATTGTTCACATTGGTCTGCAGGTTGATACTACTGACCGATGTGTCATTACTTGGTTTATCTGTTTTCAAAAGTTTGATCCGATTCGGATCAACCTTGGGTTGCACCTTTTCAGTATTTATTGTTGGAACTCAATTTTAATAAGCATTTGATCTTGTAATATTGAGTATTTATGTGTATGAGAAATGAAGTTTAATAAATAAATGGACCTTATAAATTTATTTGAGATTTGAGTTTGAGCCTATGAAAATGAAATGTTCTCATTAGGTATAACTAAAAGTGGAAGTGTAAAAGTACCACATTGCTTAGCAAGGAGAGAAACCTCTTGAATATATATGACATTCTCACAATAAGGGTCAAACAGTTTTGTGGAAGTAAAAGGGTATTATGCAAAAACATCTACGCGCGCTGCCGTCGCCGGGATCGGGCTCGCGTTCTTAGTTGCCAAAGCTTATTTCTATATAGCTGGGCGTGAGTCATGAGCTTCTTAGTTCTTTCAGGATAATATTTTGCATAGCGAAAGGATAAATCTTGAATAATAAA